CACTGCGGACAGGACAGACCCGTTCGTCTTGGGAGAACGGCCAGAGTCCTCCTTGGAGGCAAGCACGCGAGACCTCATCTTACAGACCCGGGCAGATTGCCGGGAGAGTAAACGAGTCCCAGGAGAAGGGGTCATGCTTGGCGAAGCCCATGGCATCAACGGAGAGCAGGCCCTCGGCCAGCGGGATCGACGTCAGGCCGAGGAGCAATTGCAGGGGTGGCGCAGGCCTGGGCGGGGCTTCCTTCCGCTGTGCAGGGAGGGTCACATGGGTCAGAACTGACTTGATGGCACCTAGCAGCAGCAGCGAGCACGACAACGATGACTTATCTCTTCATTCTCTTCATGGTTCTTTCAAAGGGCAGAAAAGTTTTATTTTCGCCCAGACCAGCAGAGGCAGCAGCCGGAGCAGCCGCCACCTGTGCCCTCTCCCGCCCGCCCCGGGGTCTCTTTCCCCCTTCCTCCTCCTCCTCCTCCACTCCCCCTTCCTCCCCCGCCCGCCCACAGGGCCCCCCTCGCCTTCCAGCCCGCCCCTGTTGTTCCTCCCCCGGCCTCCCACCCTTCCCCTTCCCGCCCGCTCCCCCTTTCCCCCTCAGTCGCCTCGCGCCTGCAGTTTTTGGCTTTCACCCCCACCAGTGACCAAAGACTTGACCACTCAAAGTCCAGCTCCCAGAACACTGCTCGACATGGACACCGGTGTGATTGAAGGTGGATTAAATGTCACTCTCACCATCCGGGTACTTATGCATGGAAAGGAAGTTGGCAGTATCATGGGAAAGAAAGGAGAGTCGGTTAAGAAGATGCGGGAAGAGAGTGGTGCACGTGTCAACATCTCAGAAGGAAATTGTCCTGAGAGAATGATCACTTTGGCTGGACCCACTAATGCTGTCTTGAAAGCCCTTGCTATGGTCTTGGACAAACTGGAGGAGGACATCAGCAGCTCTACGACAAACAGACCCCCCAGTCAGCCTGGGGCTGGTGGTCCCTGCGAGTCAGTGTGGCTCTCTCCTTGGGAAAGGTGGTTGCAACATCAAAGAAATTCGAGAGAGTACAGGGGCTCAGGTTCAGGTGGCTGGAAATATGCTTCCAATTCAACTGAGCGGGCCATCACTATTGCTGGCATTCCGCAATCCGTCACTGAGTGTACCAAGCAGATCTGCGTGGTCATGTTGGAGATGCTCTACCAGTCCCCCCCAAAGGGCATGACCATCCCGTACCGGCCCAAGCCGTCCAGTTCTCCGGTCATCCTTGCAGGTGGTCAGGACAGGTAAAGCACAGGAAGCGACAGTGCAAGCTTTCCCCATACCACCCCGTCCAGGTGCCTCAACCCTGACCTGGAGGGACCACCTCTAGAGGCCTATACCATTCAAGGACAGCATGCCATTCCACAGCCAGATTTGACCAAACTGCACCAGTTGGCAATGCAACAGTCTCATTTTCCTGTGACGCATGGCAACACCGGATTCAGTGGCATTGAATCCAGCTCTCCAGAGGTGAAAGGCTATTGAGGTTTGGATGCGTCTGCTCAGACTACTTCTCATGAACTCTCCATTCCAAATGATTTGATTGGCTGCATAATTGGGGGTCAAGGCGCCAAAATCAATGAGATCCGTCAGATGTCTGGAGCGCGGATCAAAATCGCGAACCCAGTGGAAGGATCTACTGATAGGCAGGTTACCATCACTGGATCTGCTGCCAGCATTAGCCTGGCTCAACATCTAATCAATGCCAGGCTTTCCTCGGAGACGGTGGCATGGGGAGCAGCTAGAACCACGCAGATTCATCCATAACCCCTTTCTGCCGTTCACCACCACCCATGATCCATCTGCGTAGTTTCTGAACCGTCAGCAATTCCAGGTTTTAAATAGTTTGTAAATTTTCAGTTTCTACACTTGATCATCCACTCGTGACTTTTTAATTAAAGCATTTTAATTCCTTTCTCTGTTCAGCTGTTAATGCTGAAATCCATATTTAATTTTACAAACTCCTGTTTTTTTGGTTTTGTTTTGTTTTGTTTGGCTCATGAATTTTTTTCTGTTTGTCATGGATATGTAAGAGTGGAATATTAATACATTTCAGTGTAGTTCTGTAATGTCAGGAATTTTTCCAAAAAAATTAAAAGATGGACTGGAATTTTTCCTTTGTGAATAGAAAAAAAAAAGAAAAGTTTTATTTTCATGAACTCTCAACTGGATCACGATTTCCGTGTTGTATCTAATAAATCTCTGTCTAACCCCACATCACAAATATATTCTCCAAGAGGTTTTACATTTAGGCCTCCTAGTCTATACACCACAGGCTGCCAGAAGAGAGAACAAATCAGTCTTAGAAGAAATACAGCCAGAAAGCCCCTTGGAACTGAAGATGGAAAGGTGCGCTTCGCATCCTTTGGGCGTGTCAGGAGCGGCCAGTCCTGGGGAAGGGCTCTTGGTAAAGTCACTGCTGGTAGGTGCCTTCGAGTCAGTTCCAACGCATAGTGACCCGAGGTTCACCTGCTCAGCCCTCTGCCAGCCTCACAGCTGTTCTGAGGGTTGAGCCCATCACTGTCACCACGGTGCCAGTCTATCTAGTCAAGGGGCTTCCTCTTCAAATAGGATGTCCTCCGGGGACTTCTCTTTCCTGCCAACACGTCCAAAATACACGAGAAGTCTCACCATCTGTGATGGGCTTTTTGTGCCAACATGGCGCCGGTAAGAAGACAGGGGTGGAGTTTAGCCTGTCAATCAGGTCGCAGCTTGATGACCTCCTTTGGAGGTGCTCCTGAGATCAATGGCTATCTGGAGCCCCCCACCTCCCCACCTTCACCTTCCTATTGATGAGCCACGCTGACCTGCAGGAGCCCTGTGATGCGGCCACTGCCATTGGATCCACAGGACTCTGCACCTACCGGCCTGTGTGCTTCTGAATTCTGCATCATTGCATGTGGCTGTGTGAGTCTGAAGAGGGACTTATGGACTAGTATCGGACTTATGGACTTGATCTGGACTGGGTTGGGATGTTTTATTGATGCTTGATTACTTCTTGATATAAATCTCTCTCACACATATGTGAGTGTCACTGGATTTGTTTCTCTAGTTCTGTGGCCCCAACATGCCATCCATGTCTCTAAGGAGCATCTGGCTGTACTTCTTCCAAGACTGATCTGTTTGTCCTCTTGGCAGTCCACAACACTTTCAACATTAGCCACTGTCACCACAAGTCAAATACATCGATTCCTCTTTGGTCTTCCTTTTGATGTCCAACCCACACATGCGTATGAGGAGATTAAAAACACCATGGGTTGGGTCAGGTCACCCTGTCCTCAAAGTAACATCCTTGCTTTTAACACTTTGAAGATGTCTCATGCAGCAGAGTTACTCAATGCAACGCTTACTTTGATCTCTTGACTGCGGCTTCCGTGAGCACTGTTTATGGATCCAAGAAAGAAGACAAAATCCTCAACAACATCAACCTTTCCTTCATTTGCCATGATGCACCTACAGTGGCGTCTCCTTGGCATTGGGTCGGAGTCCATACTGAAGGCTGCCTCAAGTAGGTCAACAAAATAGAGGCAGACCCTCACCGCAACTGATTGGCACAGTGTCTTCAACAGTGGGCTCAAACAGGGCAATGATGGGGGCCCGGGGCCAAGCAGCAGTTCATTCTGCTGTACTTCAGGTCTCCATGAGCCCAACTGGACAGCAACTAGCAACAGTGCTGCCAGACCCCCTGTACAGAGTACAAGGCATGAGTTAACCTTTTCTTTTGAATATAGATATACAATTGTTGAAAAGACTATTTTTGTTTGTTTTCCCACTGAATTGCCTTTGCTTGTCTGTTGCAAACCAGTTGTCCATGTCTGGGCCTCATTTGGAACTTTATTCCCCGCCATCCATTTCGCTGCCTTAATGCCAATTAAATTGGGGTGTCTTATTGTCGTTAGGTGCCACCGAGTCAACATCAACTCACACTGACCCAACGTACAACAGAACGAAACACTGCCCGGCCCTGCCCCGTCCTCACAATGGTTACCTTTGAGCCCATTGTTGCAGCCGCAGAGCCAATCCGTCTCACTGAGGGCCTTGCCCTTTTCTGCTGACCCTCTACTCCACCAAGATGATGTCCTTCCCCAGGGGCCGGCCCCTCCTGGTACCGCGTCCACAGTAAGCGAGGTGTGTCGCCACCATCACTTCTAAGATGCGTCTGCTTCTTAGAAGATCCGTTCTTCTTCGGAAGCAGACTTGGTCTCTCCTGGCGGTCCACGGTACAGTCACTATCCTATGCTGCTGGGATAGGGGCTCACAGGGGCTCACTGGGGACCTCAGGGTTGGTTCACTGCGCTGCTCTCTCCACTCATCCTCTGATCGAGCCTCCTGTCAGGCCATGCCGCCCTGAAAATGTTTGATGCAGCCGACAGCCACCTGCACCCTGTGCAGGGCACCTGAGGAGAGTTCTCCCCTTGTGAGTGCAGCTACTTACTGTGGACAGACCCATGGCCGCAGGGCTCACAGCCACGCCTAGGATACTCCCCGAAAACCCAACTCCACCTGCTGCCATCGAGTCCATGCAGGCTCCCAGCCACCCTGGTACCTCGGTTCTCCAGGGCGATAAACCAGTATGGGAGCATATGGCCTCATCTTCCTCCTGAGGAGCAGCTGGTGGGTTTGAACCACCACCTGTACTATTAGCAGTCCAATACTCAGTCAACAGCGCCACCAGAATGCTCCCAGGCATTCTCAGCAGGGTTTAACTCAGCTCTGAGCAGGAATGATGGGGGTGGGGGTGCTCCTCTGCCCGTTGCCAACCACCTGGGCCTGCAGCTTCCCCACTCGACCCTGGACTGTGGCCAACCTGGGTCCGGACCTGGCCCCATTTCTGGTGACAATCGGCACTGTGGAACATGACTCAGGGGTGTCTACTACTCACCACGGGGCAGGTCCTGAACCCTCCTGGCCAATGCAGCACCCAGGGCTCTCCCTGCTCCCCACTGGACCCCGCTGTGACCTCACTCTCCTCCCCCCCAGAGAATATCCGCAGCAGCTTCTGCCAGGTGCCCCCCACCCCCATGTCCCGGTCTGTCCTGGAGGCCCTGGAGCTGTCCACAGGCATGAAGTGTGACCCCCACGAAGGCTGCTCTCTGCACCTCCGAGTACTCGCCTCCGTCACGCTGCGCGGTGAGGCGCCCCCTCAGCTGCCTGGGTGGGAGCAGGGCCCTGACCAAGGCCAGGTCACTGCCCTGACAAACTATCACCATAGCCATAGTGGATGGGACTGTTAGTCCTCCCATGATCCCATGGGGCTGCAGGCTGGGTGTTGCCAAGGTCAGGGGTTGGACAGGCATCCTGGGGTGCCCAGCCTGACCTGTGCCTGACCGTGACCCTGCCCATCCCCCATCCCCATCAGAGGGCCTGCAGGGCCTGGAAGTCTGCACCTCGAGTCTCGACACCCAGAAAATGCAGTGTCAGGGTGTGCGGGTGTCACGGGCCTCCCGCCAGCTTCATTCAGGACAGCAGGTGAGGTGGGGGGGCTGGAGTGGGGACACGCCTAGGGCCCTCCACACCCTGCCAGTCCAGCTCCCAAGACTTCCCCTGGCACAGTGACTGTCCTGCCCTGATGCCGACTGCCCCCAATCCACCCCACCCTGGGCCCCGGTGGTGCCAGCCTCTGAGGCCTGGCTCAGGGCAGGTGGGCAGCTTGTCCGGTCGGCCCAGCTCCAGGTACAGTTTGGCTGCTTCCAAGTCAGCGTGGCCCAGCACCTCCATGTCACTCTGAGAACCACCCCCTACTTCTGTGGGGTCCAGCTGGACCAGCAGTACCACGTGGAAGGTGAGCCCCCTTAATCCAGTCCTGGGACAGCTGCCAATGACCTTTAGGGACTGCCTTAGGCTGGCTTTTTGCAGGGGGCTGGAGCCAATGTGGGGAGGAGTTGGAGGGCAGGGAGGAGGAGTGACTGGGGTCAGTGAGGGACCCAGCAGGCCCTCATGCTAGTCCGCTCCCAGCTGCCTGCTTGGGTGAATGGGCAGATACCCAGATGAGGGGTCAGGGCACTGCCCACCAGCCTCTGGCCTTTGCAGACTGCAGAGACGAAGACCTGGGAGAGAACATGCCCGAGTGCATGGGTGAGTCTACAAACCCGCCCTGGAAGAACCCCCCTCCCGGGTTCTCAAGTGGGCAAATGAGTCCCAATGCCTGGACCAAGGGAGGGGGAGTGGAGCTCTGTGACCCCACTACCTGCCACCCCTGCAGCTGGGAAGCTCACCTACCAGGTGCACCGAGGGCAGAAGGCCATCCTGGTGGAGGTACCCAATGCCCTGGGGGGCGCCGACTACTATGTGCGGCTCTGCTTGCGGTGGCTCACATGTAAGGACGTTGGCCCCACGGTTCGGGTGAGCAACCCCTCTGAGTCACCACGGCCCCTCTGCGCCCCCCAGCCGGGCCCTGCCCCCAGCCCGTTCCCTCTCCCTCGATGCAGGTACCTAGAAATGCTGTCTCCAGGAAGGTGTCTCTGCCCTACCGCCAAGCGCTGCCCTGTCTGTGCCTGGAGGTCAGCAGGGGCTCAGACTCGGGAAAAGGGGGGGTGGGGGAGAAGGGGAGCCCAGCGCTGATCCCTCCCCTTCCTCAGGGCTGGTTTGCGACCCCCGATGCCGTTCGGATCCAGATGTGCCCCTTCAAAGATGGTAAGGGCCTGTGTTCCCAGGGGCTGCTGCTGGTCGGGGCAACAGGGGCGACAGGGCCGGAGCCCAAGGACAGGATCTGGGCTGAGTCCGGAGAAGGGGGTGCTGTGAAGAGACCCGGCCCAAGTAGGAGTCGGAAGCGCGGTGTGTGCTGACCGCAGGTAGCCGCTGGTGCTGGTGCGGCCAGCGGGGCAGAGCCTGGTGAGCTGCCAGGGCACTGTGTATCCTAGCGCTGGCCCCACCCCTGTCCACGGGGACTGGGTTAAGGCTCTAGGACCTTCCCCCATTCAGTCCAGGGACCCTGGCCTCCGAGTCTCACAGGTATGGGGGGGACAGTGGGCCAAACCAGCAGGGCTGACCGGTGGTGGCAGACCCTGCAGGCATCCAGGCGCTGTGGGACACCATCCAGTACCACCCGGGCAGCCAGGTGCTGAGCTGGGCGCCCACCTGCCCGGTGAGCGGCCGCGTGAGCCTCTGCTGGCTCTCAGACCCTGGTGCCACCTGCAGCGAGCTGTCCGACTCAAGCCGGCCGGCCCATGGCAAGGTGAGTATCGCCCCCCTGGGGGTGGGCTCTGCAGGGTAGCCGAGCCTTGACCTGAGCACCTCACAGGTCCGGTACCCACTGGTGGACACGCAGCCCCAGCTCTGCCTGCAGGTGAGAAGGTGCCCATGCAGGGTGGGGGGGTTGGAGGGGGCACCCGGCACCTGACCCAGTCCGGGGGTCGCAGCTCCCGGTTGTCCTGCAGAGCCCCTCCTGGTCCCACGTGAGGGTGGGGGCGGGTTCCGCAGAACCAGGCCTGGCCTTGCGGGGTGGCCCCTACAACGTGCCCAGCGAGCCCCCCCTCTCCGTAGTTCTCCACACTCAGGGGCTTCTGGGTGCGGTGCCCCTTCGCCCAGAGACGCTTCCCAGGTGAGCTGGGAACTGGGGGGCGGGGGGGCGGGGCAGGGGCGGGTCATGCGGTGCAGACCAACAAGTGGCATTCTTCACGGTGTAGACGCCCTGAGTGGGGGTCTGAGGTCCACCAGTGGAGAGAGGAGGGAGGCAGGGTCCTGGTCTAGCAGGCCCTGGTGGGAGTGGGGGGACCTAGGCCAGTAGCCAGGGGATGAGGCTGGTCTGCTGGCGTGGGCCCCGTCCTCCTCCGTGGGGGTCTCACCCCTCCACCCATCCCCAGCCTGGAAGATGACGGTTCAGCCCGCTCCATCCCAGGGCTTCCTCCGCGCCACCTTCTTCTCCCCCAGCCCCGCTCGCTTCCAGGTGCGCCTGTGCAGCTGGTGGGAACCTCCGCTCGCCCCCTGCGGCCTGGCGCTGGACGCCACGCCCCTCCCTGCAGCCTCGGTGAGCGGCTGGGTGGGGGCTCCACTGCCCCTTCTCCGCCTCCTGCCTTGCCGGTCCTGCCCCTTGGGCGTGCGGGGCTCTCTGTGCCTGACCTCCGCCTTCCCTGGCCAGGGCGAGCCCTCCGCGCAGCCCGCGGCCGCCTTCCTGGACCTGCCCTGGGATGAGGCCTGTGCGCCCGGCATCTGTGTCCAGGTGGGTGGTGCCCTGGGGACGTGGGCACCCGAGAATGGGGATGGGGGCGCGCTGACCGGCTGCCCTATGCCTGCAGGGCTGGAGGTCGGACGTGCGCTTCTCGGTTCCGCAGCAACTGTGCCACGTGCAGTGCAGTGAGGGTGAGTGCCAGGGGAGGAACGGGGCGTGGACTAGGGGCGGGCCCTGCTCTGCGCGGGAGATGGGGGTGGGGGTGGGGGGAGGTGAGGCCTGGGACCCTGTTAGGCTCGCTGGCCCCCTCCCAGCACCCCACCCCCCATGGCCTCAAGGCCCCCTGAGCTCCCCTTTGCCTTGGACCAGGCTTGTGAGGGCTTGGTCCTCCCTCCATATCCACCTCCCTCCCAGGGCCCCTGCCTCCAAAGGACGACCCACCAAGAGAGGACAGTGACGCAGACTGGACCCTGTAGCTCAGGGTCACTGAAGGGGCTGTGCAGGGTGGACACAGGCTGGAAAGTGACAGGCAGACCACCCCATGGCCCTTCACAAGACGCCCCCCAGGGGTCACAGGTCTCCCAGGGTCATCTGAGGCCCAGCACCCACAATGACTGCCCCAGGGCTGTGTGACCCGCTATTCCCCTCCCCACACCTACACACACACCCAGCAGAGCTTCCTGGCCGAGCCTGGGCCCCTCTCCCTGGCCAGGGAGGCCCTCGCCCAGGCCAGAGACCCTTGGCAGGCGCTGGAGGTCTGGTGAGTCTGCACTGACCCCATGGCTGCCTCTCCCCATAGCCGTCACCAGAGAGACTACAGCTGAGTTCCCGAGTCTCATTAGGAACAAGTAGGTATCAGGCCCAGGGCTCAGGTGGGGGGACCCCATAGCCTCAGACACCTAAGGCATCCCTTCTCCTCACCCACCCTCCCCCATCTCCCTGCCATTCCTGTCCCTCACAACATGAGGAGGGGTCTCACCTGAGCTCAGAGAACCTCAGGGGCGGGCGGGGGCTTTGGGGTCATTCCTTCCTGAGCCCCTTCCTGGGTGTTTGGGGTTCTCCTTCCCCAGGAGACTGGCCCTGACATACTCCTGACATTCTGTGCTTAATCAAAGGCTCCACCAGCCCCCAGGGGCTCTCAGACAGCCTGTGGACACAGCCTCCATCATTGCCCCAGAACCATGGGCCTGGCCTCCTGCCCGCCACCTGTCGGAAGTGCTCCCAGGACACCGGGCGTGTGGTGACCACCCTTTCCACAGCTGAAGGGCCAGTCCCATGGGGCACGGCCAAGGACCACCCCCGGCCTCCACCCCATACTGGGCCAGGATCCAAACCGAGCGGCCACGCAGACTCAGGTCTCCCAGCCCCCTGCCCTGCCCACCTGTTGGGGTTCACTCCCCAGAGGCTGCCTGGAGACTGGAACAGTCATACATTTCCAGACCCTGGGGGGCAGCTGTGTGTTGCCAGGCTCCAGCCATGGGCCCCTTCCCACATTGTCACCCGAGTCCCTGCTGAGGGCGGCCCTCACTGTCCTCGGCAGTCGAAGTGTGGTCCCCACCGGGCTCTGTTCTCAGTCGAGAGTGAAGCATGCTGGGGCCTGTCCACCCTGCATGCCCACTTCCAGGTCTTCGCCCTGGCTGTCCCCCCTCCTCTGGCCATGGTCATCAGGCCTGCCTGTCCCCTCTGCCCATAGCAGTAGGGACTTTTGTCCATGGCACCCTGCACCCCGGGACTGTGGGGGCCACCTGTTCTGCTCACTCAGTAAACACCTCTACACCCACCGCCTGGGCCCCCTAGCCTCTTCCCGGCAGTATAGCACTGAGTCAGCTGGAAAGGGCACCCCTGGAGCAAGGGGGGGTCAGGTGGCCCAGTGTGCCTGGTAGAACAGGGCAGAAGCCTCTAGGGCCCAGAGACCCCATCCAGAGGGCTCCTCCCAAGTGGGTTCAGCAAGGGTGAAGCTAGGGAGGGGGGCCTCAGAGGGGGCATCAGGTAGGCAGTACAGATGCTGAAGGAGCCCGCCCACTCCTTGTGGCCCAGCAGACCCTAGAACACCCTGAAGCACTCACACCCGCAGCCGCCCCCCATGTGTGTTTGAGGGTCTGCTTGCAGTGATCCCTGGTCTTGGCGTTCCTCGGGCCCCAGTCCTCCCACTGAGCAAGAGACCGAATGGGAGTGAAGACCCTCAGTGACCAGGCCCCAGCCACCTCACTTAGTGGTGAACCCCAAGCCCCACAAGGCAGGCAGGATGTGTATGCTGAGACACTGTAGGCAGACTCCTGGGCAGCAGGGACAGAAAGCCCATCAGGCACTCCTAGGGAAGCCATGAAGGGCGGGCACCACCAGCCACTGAACCCCAGGCCAGGCTGGAACATTAGAGGGTGGGTTTGGGACACAGAGACAGCTGTGGCCGTGGTACCCCGGACTCCAGGCACCCCAACAGGGCCAGGGCATGGGGCAGGGTCTGTGCTCTGTCCTTGATGCCTTCCTCATCACAGGAGAAAGCCTCTGGGGCTAATCCTTACAAAGAGACCCAGCCCTGACCTGGCCCAGGTTCCTCAGGTGGGAAGGGGAAGGGGGTCTGGGGGCTAGATCTCAGCTGACCAGGTGCAGGCTCTCGCACTCCCTGCCTCAACCCTGGTCAGCCCACAGAGGGGGAACCTGAGGCCCATCGGGGACAGTGGCTGTGCCCTTCTGCACACTCAGGTTTAGGGTAGATAATGCCCAGGTCCCACCCAGACCAGAGCCCGCTGCCGGAGGGCTCCCGCATGCTGCCGCCAGGTGGCGCTCGAGCGCAGAGCCTGGTCCTGAGCTGGACGCAGTCCTCACTTTGAGGGCAAAGTCCTGCAGCTACACCAGTGCCCCGCTGCTCCATGGGCCCACGGCCTGGGTCAGGGACTGTCCAGCCCCTGCCCCCAAGTCAACCCCACCCCAGGCCACGCCAGGATGGGTGGTGGGAGGCGGCCTCTGACAGTTGGGCAGACAGTCCTTCAGTTACCTGAGGTGAGCCTGGGGTGCTTTGTAGTCTGTCTGTCCATCTATCTGTCCCCCAGACACGCTGAGCTGCTATTGGGCTCCGTACCACCCAGCACGGGAGCAAGGCAAATTGACACAGCTCTGCCCTCCAGATGGGGGCCGTCTGGGGGTGCCAGGGCTGAGGTTCTTTGACGAAGGCTCTCAGTGCGGGAGCTGACCTTCCCGCAGGGGTGAGAGCAGCCAGCATTACTCGGACTGGTGGGTGTCAGGAGAACTTCGCGTGCACGTGTGTGCTGTATGTGCATGTGTGTGATGTGTGTTTCTGTGTGCATGTGCGTGAGCACATGTGTCATGTGTGCGTGTGTGCACGTGTGTGCCTGTGTGTGCACTCATGCGGTGGGGGGGGCTCAGTGGGGGCATGATCCTGGGCACATGTGTCACGTGTGTGTGTGCGTGTGCATGTGTGACCGTGTGTGTGCATGCACACAGGGAGAGGAAGGGAGGGGGGATCAGATAAAGCCTCCTGGGAGCAGAGATGGAGGGGGGCTGCGAGAGGCCTGCTTGCGGCAGGGTCCCCAGCTTCAGCGTCCCATGGCCAGAGCCAAGGTGAGAGGGAAAGGTGGGGAATACGCAGTGACAGGGACTGGATTAGTCTGGCCAGGATGTCAGAAGAGCTATCCCAACAGAAAAGGGGACGGAGGAGGTTGGGGCAGGGGGCGGGGGGGCGGATTGGCCACGGTGGGTCCTTGGGGCAGGTGGCCTAAGCAAAGGTTTTGGAATGGCGGTTGGAGGTCACTATTGGGACAATTTCTCAGAATAAATGTCCAGCCAGGGCTTGGCGTGGAGCAGGACTGAGGGTTTGATGGTGTCTCGGCAGCGGACAGACAGACAGAGTTTCACTTCCTCACAGACAACACCGTCACACACCCTCTCCAGAGAAACAGCAGTGCCCCAAGCCAAAGTTCATGGCCCCATCACCACAGGTGTCCCCGAGAGGTGGGGAGACTTTGAACCTGTAAAGTGAGAGGCAGTGGGTGTCCTGGTAGAGTGGGGAGAAGGGACCTGAGAGTGACCCCTCCTTGGCCCTGTGGGCACAGGATCTGGGATTGGGGGAGAACTGAGAAGCGTGGGGGAGCAGGTGGAAACTTAGTATGGGATGAGAGGATGGGGGAGGGCAGACTTGGGGGAGGGGTATGCCTGGACCACTGAGTCCACCAGTGCAGGGGTCCAGCTGACAGCGCCAGCCAGCTGCCTGGGACTTGGGGGATGGAGAGCCCCGCCCATCTGGAAGCCATTTGAGGGCAGGTGCTGGGGGCATGGGACAGAGGGCTCAGAGAGGGGTGGCCAGCACCTGCTCCACCCGCGCAGGCCAGTGCTCCCGTCCCAAGCCAACTTGCAGTCCGTGTGGGTGCCAGCACTGGCCTCTCAGGGTCCCAAGTAGCCTCATCAGGAAGGGCAACCATGGCAAACCATGCAGTCCTCTCCTCTTTTCTCCTCCCTGTTTCTTGTGGGGGTTGCTCCTGGGGACAGGCTAGGGAGAGTGGGCGGGAGGCAGCCTGGGCACAGGTCGGGGAGGGAAGAAGGAGCAGCTGCCGGGGCCAGGCTGGTGACCTCTGACCTGCCCCCAGAGGGGGCTGCCCGGAGGATCAGCTTACAGGCCCTGGAGGTCCAGGGACCCGCAGCTGCTGAGAGGGAGTGGCGGCACCCTCTAATGCGTCCCCAGAGCCCTGATGGGCAGGCTAAAGGTGGGGTTGAGGAGCATAGAGCCCCCTCCTCTCAGTGGGTGGGTGGGGGGTGTCTCAGGACTTCCTGTCCCTAACTATCTCCTGCCGATGGAAGGGTCTTTGTAAACACAGCCCAGGTCCAGGGCTCCCCGGGTCTCAGGACAAGTGGCCCTGCCTGCAGCCCCACCCCACCCAGGCCTCCAGGAGACTCCCGCCCTCACCTCAGGGAGGGGCCCTGGGATACTGCCCCTCAGGAGAGCCATCTAGCTCCTGCCTAGTCGCCCCTTCTCTGTCCTGGGACACCAGGGCCCAAGGGGGAACAGCGTGGTGACCAGGGCTGGTGTGAGCCCTCTGCCAGCGAGAGCCAGAGGGCAGGCCGCAGGCTGGGCACTGTCAGAGCCCTGCCAGCAAAGGCCGGCCTGTAAGGCTTTCCCGCAGCGTTGCAGCCAAAAGGCGGCATCGTCCTGAGCGTACTTCTGTCGCTGGTCACAGCGACTGGAACGTGTCTGTGAGTGCCCACAGGCGAAAGCACTGTACTGAGCTGTTGTTTGAATCTTCCCATGTGCCCCCACGGAGCCCTGGTTGAGGGGTGGGGGTGTTCTGTGCTGGGCTGCGAACTGCAAGGTCAGCAGTTCAAAACCACCAGCCCCTCTGAGGGAGACCAAGGGAGTTTTCTACTCTCCATGGAGCCAGCCTCTGACACCCAGGGGGCGGTTCTACTCTGTGTTACTGTGGGGGACGCTGGCGCTGGGAGTGGCTTGGACTCGAGGGTAGTGGGCGTTCGGGCATCTGCCTGCTTATGGGCGGCCGGACAGACTGTGGTGGGCTTCCTGTCTCCGTGAGGCCGGCAGCTATAGCATCCGTATTGCAAATGCCAGCAGGTCAGAGTAGGAGGGGACACCGGACAATCTGCTTCCAGAAACATTACCTGTTGATCGTCTTATCACTGTCAGATATTTAGGGCAGGAAGATGAGCCCCTCCGGGTGGAAGCACTCCCCTCCTCTGAGCGGAGTCCCCCTGGTGATGTGGATGCGGAAGCTTTCAGGACCCGCACTTGCTGGTGGGGCACGACTCCAGACGAGAGGAAAGGCTGCCACTCCTGGGAACCGAGGGAAGTGGACCGCACACAGGTCCTAGGCAGCGTGCGCTGAAACGGGCGGTCCTGGCCATGTAGAATCAGACTGGCACCGGGCTTGCCATGCTGGGAATGGCAGGTCCCAGAGAAGAGCATCTCATTCACCATTTCAAGATCTCTCCTGAGCTACGTCACTGCCCGTGATAGGCTATTTTCCTGTCATGCCACAATAAAGCCCCCTTAACAGGACCAAGATTCAAATGGACCCACTAATGCCACAGATGAGGCCCCCTGCTCCCACAAACAGTTCCAGTCTCAGAAACCCACAGGGGCTGCTTGCCCTGCTCTCGATGGCTGTGAGGAGACAGGAGCTCCCCATCCCGGCCTCCAAGGAGCATGCTGGCTGTACTTCATCCAAGGCAGGTTTGCTTGCTCGTCAGACAGCCCCTGCTCCGTTCCAGGTTCTTTGACCCCAGGGCGTTGATGTGTCTGCCGTCCTCGGTGGGAAACTGACACTGAGGGACCTCTAACGAGGACCAGGCTCCCACATAACAGAGGGACTCTGTAAAGCTAGTATTCCATGGCAGGAAAGCCAGTACTTCGGTAAGTTAGAGATAAAGCCCAAGTACTTTCTTTTTTTT